CTAACTTAAAATCTTCCACCTATGCGCTGTTATAAATGGTAACGGTAGACAAGCTAATACTAGCAACAACTCTGGAAACTAATAATAACATTGAAAAAAAAGTGGTGTGAGGAAGTATTTTTGGACAACTTTTGAAATGTGCAGTGTAACTTTCGCTTCAGGAAATATGTACTGAGAAAGAAACAGTAAAAATACCAGTTTCTAAAGGCTAATTATCGTCTCACAGTCATAATAGTAGTTTATAATGATGGGTGTGATAATATGTGGACTTAAGTCACTATTAATATGCTTGAGTAAAATTATTCATTTATAAAGGTAACACCCATGAATGTAACGTTTTTGAGGACAGTATGCCTCACTTATTGCTTTCACTTGCAATCATTGTAAGCGGTAAAGTTGCACCAAGTATGGTTTAAGTTAATTATAAGCTTAAGTGACTACTCTGTAGTAGAAAATAGCAGACGGTCATATTAGTTAGAAGACCTTTTCATCACTTAGTTTTACCCTGAATAAAAATTTTGGTCCGCTGTGAAAAGGTAGCATTTCTTCAATAATCTGCGTTGTTTTAGATAACACTGTAGAGCTGTGTGACGCAGTTATCTGCATGGCTTTCATTATTGCAAAATAGTTCCTTAGAAAAACAAATTACATTCTTGTAGGTTTAGACCTGAACTATTTAGCTTATGAATAAAAGCTTATTGTTGATGAAATATTTTTTGTAGATAGCTGTGTTTCTTAAGTCACAAGATATTGTCAGAACGTCTCATTACCCATTTTGTGCTGTCATTTTGGTTAAGTCATTTAGAAAAGGGCGTGTTTCATATGTTCCGCAGGTATTACTGTCAAAAAGGAAGGAGCCTGATATCGACACACTTTGTTTACCACACTGCAGTAACTAGTAACTAAACTTTATATGGGTCTACATTTAACAGAAAAGACCACATTTGGAATTTGTACATTCGATGGGTACTTGTCTGCCTTTTTAAATAACAGCCCATATTCTATCGATCCCTTCAGTTTTTCTTTGTGTATTAAGGATTAAATGTTTGAAGTTCATTTGAGTCATCTAATAACCACTGTCACGCTCAAGAGGACAGTTTTGAAAAATGTATGAGGATTTAGTGCACTATGCTTTCAAGCAAAATAGACTCTAAAAGTCCGCACCTTCAAAGATTCGCAAACTGAAAAACACCTATCTGGCAACGTGATCATCCCGCTCATAAACACAAGTATGATCATCAAAGGTGTTGATATCATTGTTTAGTGGCATGAGGTGCTACAAACCATATGAGCATGCAAAGTGAAAGATCACAAGGGGTGAGCCAAAACAAGAGACTAATATCATAAGAAGTCCTTGGATGAATGAGGATAACAACAAATGGTGACGAAACAACCAAGAGGCTCTGACAATAAAACCTGGGGATAGATTTTAAATCAGCATCTTTGTGCCTCTGTAATCATTCTTCAGTCATATCATCTATGCACCAGAATTACCAGTTCCTGTCGTCCGGCAGACACAAACCAAAGGTTTTATTTTTTGTATACTGCTCAGACTGGCATAACACGACTAACCAGACTGCTTTTATGTTTTCCCCTGCCAACCATTACCTTATTTCCGAACTGATCTCAATTTGATGGATACTGTGTGGACGGTCAAGAGGCATTTGTAACACGTCTCGGTTAAAAAGATGTGGTGAGTTTGAAGCTTTGTCAGTCGCTTTTACTGTCCTTTAAACTTCTTTCAAGAAATCTGCAATGTTACGCTCTCAAGGTTTTGAAATGGTAGGAAATACTTGTAGATTAGGTGGATGATCTTGGTTTCGCTGCGTTCTCTAAAATGAGTGGTTTGATACTGAAGCTTCTGATGTCTTTTTAGACAACATCATCGGCAGTGAATTTAATATAAAGCGAGCGATCAGTATTTCACAGTGAATGATTCAGTAGCTTGCTCTAGCCAAGTGGTTTACGATCGGTAGTTTCCTTTGATTGTTGTGTCACTGACTGCTTAGACTTTCCTGAAGTCCTCTCCTCTGTCTGACCTCTAACCATGTAATTGCTTTTCATCTTTCACATTGGTTGATACACTGAGTCTATGACTATGCATCTATTGACTGCTGATTGAGCTGAATATTGGACTTCAAGGAATTCTACAATATTCTATATGTTTCCTTTATTCAAGATCTCTACATTTTCAAAGTCGAGATCATGTCCATAGTTGTCCCACTGTATTGATGAAGCATTGTTACAGCGTGGTATAAGTAACTGTTGTTCATGTAAACGAGGGCGAAGAGGGCGGCAAAGTTGTTCAATGTATCACTAATCGCAATCTTTTCAGTTGATTTTTCAAATGATATTTAGTCTGTCTTCTTTAGCTTCTGCATTCTTTGGTTTGCATGATATGGTTTTGAAGGGAATTCTCCGATTTATGGGTCACCCCGATTCCAAGAATTCTCAGTAATCTTGTCGTAATCTCTGATTTCTGTGAATGACTTGTAGTTGAAGATGAATGGGCTAGGCATCTTTTGATGAAGTTACCTGGGTAATCGTTCATCTACAGGCACCAGTCCTACTAAATAAGATATCCAGTATTGGCAGTTAGTTGTTTCATCCCCTCATTGTGAATTTGATGTCGTTGAAAACACTGCTGACCAAACTGTATGTGATTCTTAATCCGTCCTCTTCAATGATAACAAAAGTATCTTCAAAGTAAAGAATCCGAAATTTTGGTTCGATAATGGTTGAAATGATAGCTTCCAGTCCCTGCATAACAGTTACTACAGATATCCGTGGTTACATTGCAGTTCTTTCAATCTGTCTGCATATCTAGCTATTAAATTGGAAATGTGTTGTCATACAAAGATCAATGAGTTCTATCAGACTTGAGTACCCAAGTTTTGTGTGTTACAAAAGTCGTAAGTAAGAAGCAGAGACACAGTATACTTCCCAGTTGAGCTTCAATTGAAGCATATACCGTGATGTCGTAGAATACCAATAATCCGTTGGTTTCTATGTTAATGACTTTGACCTTCCCAAAATTTTGTTGAAGATTCGGTGGAATATCCGCACGACCTCACAAGGTATTTCTATCTCTTTGAAAGCTCTCATGATAAAAAAAGGTCCTCGAAAGTGAGACTACTATTCGTAAAGGAATTTTTGGTTTGTCTAGTTTTTATATTTTGTAAAATCAAGGAAGATCTAATCCACTCAACATCATCTGCCGTTTTTCTTTCTCAGTTATATCTCTTGCTCTGAGAAGCTCTTTCAAGGTTTTGGTGATCTTGTCGTCAAACTTTTAGCTATGGTTATTTTTAACTGACTGATACGCATTCTCGTCCTCAAGTAAATCCTCAGCTTTCATGAAGTTTCTTGATAAAACTATTTACAATGCTTAAATTCCACTCAGAGACTGAGTTTATATGCAGTCTTCATCTCCATGTTTAAGTATGTAACGTATGTAATAGAAAAAGATCCAAAGGATTTCAGCAATCTCATATTTTAATGTTCATACTTTAAGGCATTAGTCATCACTCGTCATTTAGTGAATTGTATAAAAATTTGGGAAGAATCTAAATTTTAGAGAGCGAGATGATTTTATTTTGACAGACACCGATTTTATTCATCGATTTAAGTTACTTTTGTTCTGAAAACTATGGAAGTGGCTGGCAAGTAATATTAACCCTTTCATAAATCATTTTCCACTGAGTATACCAAAGAGAAAAAGCTTACTGTTTGGTCGCGACTTACGTCATTCACTTGTATCTTTGTTCGAATGAAAGGTCTTGTCGTTCACAATCTTACTGAAATACGGTTAATCGTTAGCTAACCGCACAAATTAATTAATCCTCTTACAAATGTATACATTAAGTAAGCTTATGGAAATAAATAAAAACGAGGAAAACTGAAGGGAATGTTAGACAGTGTTTACTGCAGGAGAATGAGTCTCTGATAGAAAACTGAATTCAAGTTAGGATTTTTACAGAACTCAGAAATGTAAATTGACTTTCTAAGACTTAATTACATTCAATAAACTCCTGATAAACAATAATAATAAGATTATTGATGATAATTTTGGTTTCATGTAAATAAATCAGTCTGATGGTTCAGACCACGATACTTTGTGGAGGTTTAACTGTGAATCAATGCATTTGGTTCATAAGCTTTTATTTGGTTGGCCGACTGAATTAGATTTAACTGAATAAAAAAATACCTAAATTCATGCAATGAACGTACATTATAAAATTGAACAGTTCACTTAATTAATCATCAGATCTACGCTAATTCAAGTAGTGATACGATAACCATTGTTACTATATGATAAGTTGCCGATTTCATATATATATATATATATATATATATATATATATATATATATATATATATATGTCATATGGAGTAAGGTCGCCATCTTAGTGGAACAGCAAGACTGTTGTAGAATACATTTGTGTAATAGAAACCCAAATACCATAGTTGATGAGATGGTAAGAGAGATTGGAAAATTTTCTAACTCAGTGGATCATAACCACTGTTAGTTTCTTCTATCTTTTAGACTCTACTTTTTCAATTTAATAGTGGAGCTACTTCTGCATTACTGTTCATTCAGAAGTGACTCCATCGGTGGTAGATATGGAAGCAATTGGTTGACAATCAAAATCTATGAACTACAGTATCTGTAACATTTGTTTGTTCACTCACAATTAGCGCAGCAAAAGTTAGAAGTGGTCTACTTATGATAGTATACAGCTAAAAAAGAAACTCTTAATCTCATAGTGTGTCTAGATTCATTCTTCCTCCTTTCGAGTCGTTCTTTCTTCTTTTAAAAGATCTAATTTCACTTCCATTCTTCAGTCCCTATTTCGTTGCAAAGCGTTTTAAATTCACTTTACAGATTGAAAATCAACCAGAAAACTTTCTAGTCAACAGCTTTTTCACTGCGCAGCAACAGCATAATGATAGTGAAAAAAACCTTACTGTTTAATGTTCTCAATTTCTTTTCGTTCTAGGTTTTTTGGTTGAAAAATGAGAAGCGTGTTGATAGCAAATCATTTCCCCATATCATAATCAATGACTATAACCATCTCATCATTGAGAATACAACAGTTGCTGATAGTGGAAATTACACGTGCGTAGCATCATGTTTGGGCATTGAATATAGGTATGCAAATGCACGTGTCAACATATTTCGTAAGTTGGAATTGTAGTGTAGTTTATTTTATAACCTTTCACAATGAATTTATCAAACTGTGGCAAAATAATCAGAATAATAGTAGCCTGTTGCAGTGACTGCAACTGTTTAATGTAGACTTACCCTTGTCCTATTACTTCTTAAAAGATGACTTGATTTTTCAGTCATTAAGGATAAAGCGAGCTAATTTAATAATATTTACTTGTCCTTTGGGTTCATAGTGGAACATAGGGCTTCAGTAGCATGTCGCCATTTCACTCTCTTCTCTGCAGTCTTTTCAACGTGGCTCCACTACTGACCACAAGCTTTCATTTCTACCTCACGTGATCTCCTCCATGTCACCCTCACCTGGGACGCCCAACTCGTCGTTTCCACATCGGATTCCACTCAACGCCCTGTCCTGGCACGTGATATCCCCAAATAGTCCTCTCAATGTATGCCCAATCCATCCCCACTTTCTTCTGCAGATTTGTTGGGCGATGGGTTGCTGGTTGATTCGTTGCCTGGTCGGAGTTCCTTGTAGCTCATTCTTTCTAAAGATACATCCGATCTTCAGTATCGAGCGAGCGTAGGTGCCAGCTGTTGATGAATGTCTATAGTTTGTTGAAATGCTTTTTGTGACGCTCCAAGTCTCTGAACCATAACATAGAAGGACTGACTTGACGTTGGTGCTGAAAATCTGGATTTTGTTCACGCTTCATGCTGAGTGGAGTGGAGTGTAGTAGATCTCTACACCGATCATTTCAGATTAATGGAGGCCTGTCTTGCTGTCTTTCCGATCCTGACTTTGACGTCCTCATCTGTACCGCCGCCTGTAGTTGAAACAATGCTACCTAGTTAGGTGAAAGAGACAACTTCCTTTAGATTTCTCCAGTTGGTGGTGATTGGTGCTTGTTGTTGTTGTTGGTTGGGTATCTTCATCACCTCCGTCTTCTCTACATTCACTTTAACTCCTGTCTTTGCTGCCCTGTCTCTTCTGCCAACTTGGTGGCTTTTTCCTGTAGATCTTCGAGTTTGTACGACAAGACATTAGGCATAAATCATCATCGGGAAATCCAAATCTTCTAGGCTCCTCTCACCAGTCCAGCCAGCGTATCCCCATCTTCTCACAGCCCCTCACGGTTTGCTGCATGATCCAGTTCAGTCAAGTCGGCCACAATCAGGAAGATCGCCTGTGGTAGTTGACAGCCTTGTCTTACCCCTGTCCTCACTTCAAAGGCGTTGCTGAGCATTCCATTGTGGATCACTTGGCATGTGGCATCTTCATATAGTTGTTGAATGAAGTTGATAAAGATTTGTGGCACTAAAACCGTAGTGTTGAAGCAACTGCCTGTCAAATTACTTCTCGGTCGACGCTGTTGAAGGTCTTTTCAAAGTCGATGAAGTTGAGGTAGAGAGTTGACTGCCATTCTGTGCTCTTTTCTATGGTGATGTGTGGAGTAGCGTTGCAATTTGATCCACACATGATTTGTACTTCCTGAATCCAGACAGTCAGCCTGTTCCGGTCGTAATTTTGAATCCAGCACATTGTTTAGTCTCTCCAGGATGATGTGGCTTAATATTTTGCTTGGGGTGTGCAGAAGCCTGATTCCTCGCCAGTTCTTGCAAACACTTAGGTCGCTCTTCTTTGGAAGTTTGACAAGGTAGATCTTCTTCCAATCTGCAGGTATCTTTCCTTCCTCCCAAACCTTCTACAGTAGTGGTTTCAGTGTGTCCACTGTTGTGTCTGCATGTGTTTTTAGTGCTCCTGGAGGAATTCCATCTGGTTCTACTGCTTTCTAGGACTTCAGAAACTTTAGGCCACTCAGGACTTTGGCTTTTGTCAGAGGGCTTGTTTTGACTGATATTTCTGTGGCTGGGCCACTGACGATATTTCTGAACGTGTTCTAGATGGTGGTGGTGGTCGACTCAAGAGTTTTTTGAAGTGGTCAACCCATCGTTTCCTCTATTTCTCCTCTTTGGTATCTGGGTTTCCCTCAATATCTTTCATTGGTTTCATCTGCGTTGATCTCTTCCCTCACACATAATAACCTGGTTATTTGATATAATATTATCAGGTCTCTCCTCCCTGCAGCCTGTTTTACTTCACTTGCCAGTGTGCCGTAGAAGTGTCCTTCGACTTTTCGAGCACTCTTCTTCGCTCCTTTGTCCAGTACAATGTTGTATAGGTTGTTTTCGGTTCCTCTTTTCGTTGTTCATCTCGACACTGCACTCGTTCATCTTCTACTTCACCATCATCCTCTCCATCCTCCATCAGCTTCCATGTGTCCGTCGAGATCCATTCCTCGTCTTGTCTTCTTCTTCTTCCTTCCTAATGTGTTTGTTCAGGTTCCTTTCCACATAGCCTTCAGAGAGTTCCAGTGTTCTTCCAAGCAGGTTTCGTCAGGGATGTTGTCCAATGTCTCCCATTTTGTCCTGATGGCTGACTGGCGTGAAGATCTCCTTTGTAATTTCGTCCTTCAGTTGAGTTCAGTCTCTGTTCTGGGTGTTCAACTTGAACTGTGGTCGTCTATCACCAGCTTCACTGGAGGCTTTCAACTTGATTTTGAATATAGGTCCCTTGCACTAGATAGTGAGTGGTGTGAACCTACATCTGCTCCCCTTCTTGATCTGATCTTGTGTCCACTAGGCTGCGTCTCCACTCCCTTCATATTAAGATGAAGTCGATCTGATTTTTAGTGTATGTGGTGTCTGGTGAAATCAATTCCATGTCGCTGCCCTGTGAATATCCTTGTATTTGTACACACTGCCTCTAATCATCAAATTGTTGAATGCGCAGAAATCTGCAAACAGTTCTCCATTCTCATTCATCGTTTCAGTGAGTGCTTCTCGACCCATGATGAGTTCTCTTCCTGTGTTGTTCGCTCCCAGTTTGGTACTCATGTCACCCCACCCATTAGAATCTTGATGTCTCCAACTGGGGTGGGGTCTTGTCCATTACTGATTACAGTTGTCTATAGAATTCCTCCTTCTTCTCTTCATTTGCATTATTTATATGTGCGTAGCATTGAATGATTATGACTTTCCTTCGTTTGGATTTGAACCTTGCTGTCATGATCCTGATGCTGGAGAAGGTTGGTTCCCACTGCATGAGAGCCTTCGATGCTGTTGAGGACATCATGAAATCCACTCCAAAACTCAGTGTGCTCGTGATCGTCGTCTGGGTGACGATATCAGAGTAGATTATTGTCTCTGCAGTTGTCAGTTAGGAGAGTCCACTTCCATTCCATCTGCTTTCGCAGATTCCTAGCACTTCTATCCCATATCTTTTCATTTCTTTTGCAACCTAAACAGCCTTGCCAGCCAGCTTCAAACATCGTATGGACATTTTATGTCCTTATGTTTACTTCCGCTTTCATCGAAAGAAGATACATCGGCCAATCGGCTTTCCGAAGGCTTTCACCAGCCGGCGTCTTCACTTCCCCTGATTCCAGCAAGGAATAAGTTTATTTTTATTTGTTATATTTTCTTTGTGTTGTGAAGTTTCTTTACCGACTGGGTTGGTTTTACCTTGGTAGGGTTTCTAGCCCTATGCCCATTTTTCCCTCTTTATCCGGACTTAGGACCGGCTAGTAACTAGTGAACAAGTTAAGTAGGCGAGATTAAAGTGAGCCTTGTACTCTCAATAGTAATATGTAATGATTTATTACCAGTATCATCTTACAAGCCTTTCACTTGCATTTTTTATCTCAAATCATCAAAGACCCATTTGAGAGAAAACGGAGGTAAATAGAAAACTGCAACATTTACAATGAGAATAATGCTCGCATACGTGTACTATCGTATAAGCGGAAGCCTTTTTAGAGACTGACTTTTATTGACCTGATTTCGTTTGGCAGAAAAGGTGTCTTTTGTGAAAAGCGGTTTACGGCTGAAAAGTTACTTATTTTTTCAGGCATAAAAATCGATAAATTAATTTGACCGAAAAAGTGCTGAAAGCTTACCTACAGGTTTTTGAGTGATTATAATTGCAACTTTGGTAGTGCTTCTGATTTTTATTAGCACAGAAATAAACATTTAAGGCTGACGAGTAAATGCTTTTTCAAGTGATAATGGTATCAGATTATTGTTTAAAATAACAAGTTGTTGTTGACTATAAGTGGAATGCCTGAAGCAGTAGGTTCGTTGTTGAGTATGATGTAATCTGAAAGCATGATAATTCGAACTATTCCTGCTACTTCTGCATCGACCAAGGTTACATCAACAGTTTTCCTTGAACATAACAGTAGAGAACAGTTCATATCACTTTATATTTCTTTGTATTTTGCATATATAGAGCGTGTTATATTGCATCGTTGTCTACTTAATTTCTTGGTAACTTTTATCACTCAGCATCCAACCCATAATATTGCTTTCTGTATTATTCTCGCTAAATTAAAATCAAATATGTTTTATAGGTTACATATCGGTTCAGAGATTGTATTTGTCAGAGTTGATGGGTTATCGAGCAGAATAAACATATAAGAGGCGGTGAGCGATGAAATTGCGGTCATTTAGTTTAACTCTGAATGATAGAGAAATGAGTTCGTAGTTTGTAAGCTAGTGTTATCAATCCTTCTCCTGATTTTATCGTTATTTACGGTCATTACTGTTATGGAAATAGTATGTTAGAAACCTTTGACGCTTGCACCGCGTTGGGAAATGGCTTAGATATGGAAAAAAAACTTTATCTCACTGAATTAAAAAGCTACACACTAACTTATATCAGTGAAACTCTTCTAGTGAAACTATTACTATAAATGTAATGCTACTAATCATCAATAAAAGAGACAATAATGGATTACGAAAGGCAGAAGTCATGATAACTAATAAATTGTTTAGCATTATACTTGCCGGAATGCGTTTAACCCATACTTATGTACAGGAGGCTGAAAAAAGTTCACGGCATGTTAGTTTCTAATACTGTGAGGCAAAAATTGCGTTACTCTAGTCAACAACAACATAAATCACTCTTCGATGCAACTAAACATTATCTATTCAGCTGAACTATGAAGAACAGCCAAACTGTGGATACACTTAATTTTAGTAATTCTGTTTCTTCTGTTTATGAATTATCTTTTCCAGCTTATAATTCGGTTATGAATCGACCAGTAAATGATGACCTAGTCGATTGGGGCGAATGGGGAGCATGTCATAAGCTTACAATTGAAGGGAATAATCCTAGAACGGTTTGTCAGCAAACGCGTTATCGTCTATGTGCAAATCAACCAGCTTCTAGGTCTGAAGTAAAATTAACAGATTCTAATCGCTTAGCAAATGATCGGTGCCCTCTACCTATATTTGAAACGAGAAACTGCTCATCAAACCAATGTACAAGTAAGCATAAACAGTTTTAGAAAGGTTAACACTATAAAAAATATCACGGATGTATAATTTGCATCTGCATTTCTAAACGCATACTTGGTCATAGTAATAGTTGAATAAATTAAAAATCTGAAAGCTGATATACATTGCTGATAGTTCAGGCCGTTTTCTATCCACTTTGTACTAGTTCATTGCTAAACATACTCTTACGCTGGTGCTTTAATGTTTAACATCCCAAGTTAAACACATTAGAATATCTCACCCGTGGTGATTTAATTTTTCATCCTATATCTCACCACGAAGTTCAACCTGTATTCATAAACTTTTCGTCTGTAGGGGTTAAGCTGACTGTACAACACGCAACTTAATAAATACTTTTTAAAAAACACAGTGAAAGCCTCATATTACTGTGAACCGGTAACGCTGAAGATTTCAGCTGATAACAACTGTGAATTGTTTTCACATGTTTTAATTTTAAAAATTTAAGAGATGTTCAGTTGGCTTATTTGTGGTTAGCAGTGGAATCTAGAGCGTTTGTCTCTTCCAGTTTAGGATTCGTCGGCTGCATAAACCTGTACTCCAAAGTATTGTTCATTGAGAGTCGAACCTCGTACCCACCACTTCAAGCACTACAACTTTGTCTGCCAGGATGAAGTGCATGTCCTGTATTTCACTGCTAGCCACAACCAAGTCAGTTAAGACAAGTTTCCGGGTAATATTGAAGCATCAGGATAGGAGTCGTAATGCCAACAGAAATCAGTCAATTCTATCCAGTATAACAACGAGGAATCACAAGAATCAACAAATATTACGGAGTTTTTGTTCATGAAGTTTGTCTGAAATTTATGATGCTTGTGTGATAAATGAAATCCAGTATTTAATGGGCGACTGCGTTTTTCTAATCACTGACCGCATAGCATTGCAAAGCCATTGAATTCTAAAGGGTGACTTAAAGTTGTCAGTAAAGGTCTAAAGATTAGACGAGGTGTTTCTTGTCATCCAGAATTTAAGATGTCTTTAGATAGACCACCTTTTGTTTCTTAGCGAGAATTACCTATACTAGTTATAAGGAGGCAATCAGTCAGTCTGTCAAGTAAAAGTGCAACATTTCACTTCATGAGGTAAATAGGAATGGGTCAATGTTACTAAAAATAAGACTCACATCGTTTATGCTCGTTTAAATCTAGGGCTTTCAAGCGATTTGGTGACTATCAGAACTGAAAAAAAACGACTTAAAACTAACTTTTTCTGCTTTTCGGGATTATGTGCATTAATTGAATTAAGAACTTTCTAATACATTAGAATATGGACTGCGATGTCAATCTGGTTAAGTTGATTGCCGATCATAGCTCATTTACTCGATTTTAGGCCGTTCCTCTTCAATTTCTTTCGTCCAATTAAGCTATACCTCAGAAGCTATAACTAAATATTTCATTTCAGACTTCGTAAATCACATGAATTCTGTAAGATAATATTGAATACTAAGTTTGAATATGGCAAGAATGACTGGGTTCGTATAAATCAACTTTTATTTGCATAGCCGGCTCAGTGTAGTTTCACCTTTTAGTACTCAATTTAAAAATGTCAACCAATGATATAAAAGTGGAATGGAATCAAATACAATTCACAATACTCTTTGAGAAAGCTAAATCAAAGTTCTTGATTGATTTATTAAAATATTTCATGTTGCAAGATATTTGCCAGAGTTTTTTTCAAGAAGATAAGAGAAGGACAAGATACATCAGTGAAGAATATTTTTACCTCATAGAAAATATTGTATTACTCGTTGTCATATTCTGCCATTTTATAATATCAAATAAAATTTTTTTAGGTATTTTACATTCAGTTGATCCTAAAGGGATTTACATTTTGGATACGAAGTTATCAACTACTGCTTCCACGATATCAAGTACACAAATGTTTAGAACTCGAGAAATCGCTATTTATGTTGGCTTGTTCTTATCCTTAGCTGTTCTGCTGGCTATTGTAGCTATAGTTGCTCTCATAACGAGAAGAAAAAGTCTGAAATTCTCGACTACACGCGCAATTCATTATTCTACTTGTTTTCATGGTGAGTGATTATTTCTGTTCGATAAACCGACATCTTTTTTAAAAACCTCAGGTAATCTGATTAATCGCACCAGTTAGACTCAGTAAACGAACGTATTACTCAGAAGTAGAGATGGGGTAAATTTTAATCTTATCTGAATATCCTATACCATGTTGTATCAATCACTTTGTTCAAATTCTGACTTTAAAAATCCCTTCCTATTCTGTTGTTCAAGACTGCAGCTTTCCGAAAAAAAGAACTTAAGCGGGTCAGAAAGTGACGTTTTCATAAGCCAGTCTGACCAGTTACTGGAAATATTTTCAGTCCTAAATTCAATGAGTATGTTTGATGTAACTCACAGACTGAGTGTTGACACTTATTTGATTTGAACTATGTATAGCTAGTCTGCAGTTTAGGGTGTTTCTTTTATTTGCATTCGAACAACACTAAAGTATTTTTGACACCAATCAAACACTACCCAACCTTCGTATACACTACTAAATTGTTATGGTGCTGCAAGAAAGACAGTGTGATTTTAAACAGCTCATATTAAGTAATTTTGTCACTTCACCGTTGTTTTCCACTTTTTTATAAAAATGAACATTTCGACTCATGATTCTCTTCATTTGCACTAAATCTAACTCAAAATTAGTATTTGGGGTGAAAGTAACCGAATTAACAAGGAATGCAAAAGCAGCCACTGACTTTCCCATTTCATGATCATCCTTATTGCTTAGGTTGGTTTGTTGTTAAAAACTCCAATAAAAATTATTCATATCACCAAAATCATGAGAAAGAACGTTAGTGGCTACTTTAGCATACTGAAGGACTAAATGAAATCTTCAGAAAATCCTTATATCCAAAGGTATAGGAGTAGTTTAGTTTCAGGAACTAGTGACTGAATATAAAAAAGCCATTGGGAAGTATAAAAAGTCAAGTTTGGGACTAGTAATGATAATATTTCGAAGCCAGCTTATAATGTCAACTTATAATATTTCGTATCACACAAAACGATAGTCCACATTTAATAAAAAGTAACAGTTTTATTTACTCACTTATCGCATGCGCTAAAGACACAAGTGTCATGCGCAACTACTGGAGTAGTTGATTAACATTTATGGATTAAAGGATTAGGAAATAACGATAGATCCTTCTATGTACACGCCCTTGCTGGTAAATGCCACACAAGATATAAATTATGCAGCCAAAGTTTCTTCTAAGTGACATTCGAAGTAACATTTACACAAAAACTTAAATTCCACAGGATGGAGTGTAAATGTTATTTTCTTATTCTTAAGTCTAAAGATGAGTAATGCATCCTTTGCCGTTAAATGAACTGTCATGTTAATAAACAAAATTTTTGTATTCCTGCCTGGTGAAATCTGATTACTTCGAAAATTATTATTCTGTGACAAAGTTCCTATCACTTTTACACAACACGTAGGCTGGCAGTTGAATCAAGTAGTCACTTCATTAGTTTGTTTGACAAACTTCAACCATGTAATTAGAAAGTTCCTACTTCGATTTTAGAACGATGATCCACTGGAAATTGTTCAAGGAAAGCTCTGTACTTTGATGGTAACTTCTGACCTCCAGTTAACTGACACGAAACTATTAATATCATATCCTCGTGTAGATGTTATCACCTTAGAATAACTTAGGCTTTCAGTCAAGCTTAGACATTCCTACGGTTCATCAGTCAACCAAACACATGAAGACTCAAGATGAACCTCATTATGCTTAACAGTCGGGATACTTGTAGATATAGTTCATAGTTTCAGATCTAGTTTCTGTTAGGGAGAACTGTGCTGTTAGAGGAAGTTCATAGTGCAAGAGGTCTGGATAAATCCACCAAAACTCCTATTGCATATTAGCAATTATAACTGAATGTCAAAACACTGTCAGTATGCACCTAAGTTAGTTATCTTAAATAAAGAATGTGTGCGTAGTGAGTGTCCAGAAATATAGTAATAGGTTATTAGTGATGTCTGATGTGTGAAGAAGATAAACTACTCAGTGATTCGATCATCTGGATGACTTCTTAGAATTATTCACAGACAACAACATGGAAACTATGAAGCAAAAAAATGCTTGGTCAAGCCGTACCTATAGGTAACATATTTTTCGGTAATTTCCAAGCAACAAACATTTTATTTTCTCCCTGCAACACCTAAAAAATGTATCTTATTTGTTAGACTTCGATTTCAGTTGCATACAAATCCTATTTTATCAACATTTATGGCGTTACTTGTTTATTCCTGTTTAAAAATCCAACTGTAATAGACTTTCTGAAGCAGATTTTGTGTAGTTTTTCCCCCTGATATTTCTTCGTATTCCAGGTATGTTTCTACGAATTCACACATGTTGGTGATCCATTAAAAAATGTCCTGGTGTGAAGAAAAGATGTTTGCATTTTATAATCATTGAAAAAATTCACTGTTTGAAAAACTTGCAGTATCTGTCATAAGTAAATATGAGCTTAAATCACCAATTTATATAAGGGAATGAATATTTAATGTATATCTAAGGATGGAGAAAGCTATTTACCTCTAATAAAGTTGTCAGATGTTGGTGCATACAAATACACATTTCCGTTGGTTCAAAAGAACCTCTTACTATATGACTCAATCAAAAGTAAAAACTTCACTTAGATTAAAATTTTCATTTTGGCTGTCTGACACTTTGTAATTTCTTTCATATTAGAATTCAGTCATGGTAACTTCATTCATAATCCAATATGATATTATTCATTTGAACTTGAAGAATAACTTATCCATGAAATTACATTAATAGCTTATTAGTCTGTCAACTTAAATTTCGATAAGTCACTAGTGATACCCAGTGGTTTATCATAAATTAAATTCTGCCTGTTGTTATTCTGACAACAAAGTTCACCATAAAATCTGATAAGACAGTCGGAGGAACTTCATCTTTGTTGCACTGGTGTTGATTTATCGGCATATTACCGAAGATAGTTCCTAAATGAATATAGGTAGATGCAGAAATAACAAGAACGGGGAGACAGAATTTTATACGTCATTCTACCTCTTCTACAAAAGCACTTTTACTGGTTTTCAAATTTTCCTAGAATTACAAACACTGTGTTATCCATAACTGACCTAGATAATATCTTCATAGACTTTTGTATTTGCTTTCTGCAGGTAAGCGGTCATGTCGACAAGACAAAGTTGGCAAGAAACCCCAAGGTGAGTTACAATGCTTCTCTACTTTCTTGTAAATACATGAAGAAAATTATTCTCCATGAACTTTCAGTCTCTTGAATGAAAATGGAAACGGGGAACGGTTATGCTAAGTATTGTTTAAGGAATGAATTATCCCAAAATAAGTACATTGTGAAGCTGAGCAAACCTTAAATCTTTAAAATTCGCATTATAACAGTGCTCTAAGTTCATTTGGTAACCCAGCTCCCAAGATCACAAAACCATCTACCATAGTGTTATTGCGGAGTTAAAGCAGATTTGCTTACCAGCGTTTTAGATCACTTAGATCGTTTTAGGTTAATAGGTCAGTTACTCTGGTGCACTGATACGAATTGTGTTTCATTTTGGCAACTACTAGATACAATGACTTTTTTTACTGAGTTCTAACGAATCATACTTACCGTTTTATCTCGCCTAGCACTAAGTTTGAATATGAATACTCCTAACCAGTAAACACGAATTCTTTAACCAGTAGCTTTCACTAAAAGCAGATGAAAAGGGAAAACTGCAGAGTCTACTAGGCTTTTGTTCCTTCTATAGAGTCACATGGTTCGGAGAACCACTGAAAACCTAGCAGCTGCGGACAATTCTATTTCTTAGTTTGGAAATCCTTGGCAATCCTCATTCTTGACTTAGTAAGGGATGAAGTTTAAGACCGTCAGGTTTCATGGTGAAAACCTTACCAATCAGACACTTAGCAAGAATTCACTGGTTAATTGCCTCATAATTCTTATAACTTGCTACATAACGAAACTATCGTAAGGTGCCAGTTATCATTCTGTCTCCTACAGACTTGCTGACCTCATTTGACTAAAGCAAGTGGTGTAGGTACGGGCTCTTCTAGAATTAACTTAGAATGATGATGATTTCAGGCCTACGAGTACCGAGTAACTTGGCTCATTTCTGCTTAAAAGTAAAACAATGAGAACTCCAGTGTTGAATGTTATAATCTGACTTTGGAGCGCAGTCATACGTGATATACTTCCTTCATTTAAATCAGTTTTTGTTCTACACATTATAACTTACTTGGCACTGAGGTATCGGTGTATTAGCAGACTCGTCTCATGTAGAATATCCGTAGCATAATAGTTAAAGATAGTTCTTTATGGTGTGTCCATTTTTGAGAAATCATACGACAAAGGGATTCAGAATACTGAGAGTTTCTAGTTTCTCTAGTTCAACTGTGTTATACCCTTGAATGATAATGATAACCACTTGAGAATAAGTTGATAGAAATAATGTTACTACGTACTTAGAATCATGCTGGCAACAATTTTATGAAATTTAGATATTACCAACAACTTCACTTTGTTTTCGAGTGTTCTAATAAAATTAAGACTTTATATCTAAGAGCTAATCAGTTGAGGTTATTGTAATTATAAAGTGTTGACTACAGAACAATATGAACCACTTGTGTTAAACTCTCTATAATTCTACTTGAGTTTTATCACACTTCTTGAAATTCTGCTTCGTTAAGCTTTTTGTTAATGTAAATAAGTGCTATTACATTAAAATTGTAAAACTACTTCTCGAATTGATTTGACTTCAAGAAACTCGTTTATGATATCGCTTGGAATTTTATAACTGTAATGAAACGTACCTATTTTGAGTATTTTCATTCCTGTTACCTTATAAAACGCTCATGTTTCGACTGATTTTCAAAAACTGTTGTACAAATGATGAACGTAATCTCTTCACAGAACTTCTGAAACTGAGTTTCATGGTAATATCTCAGTAAGTAAGGTAAGACGTTGACCAGATCTCTAATTAATCGTTTGATTGTGTTCAGCAGTTTACCAGAAGTAATAAACAAATGAGGTCAACAACTTCCAAAGAATAACTAACTAGTATACCAAAATAGTAATAAAACTCAACTCACACGAATGGCGAAATAGTAATTCTAGGTAATTTTGCGCATACATTTAATAAAATCGTCTCTCCATCTAGGGGCTCAGATTTCTCCCAATAACTATGTTGATTTCATGGGCAAGAATCTAAACTGAAGTAGTGTACACAAAATATTATGAGTGAAGGTGACATAATCTTCCCAGTATACTGATTCCAGTATTCACCTGCGCTGAAACTGGACTGTGGCTTTTAAAGGTACCAGCTAAAATCTGATCACACTGTCGGTTATCCTAGAATATATTATATATGAAAACGGAATCTATCCAAAAGTGTCTGGGAAATTTAGGCCGCAACAGTATTAGTATACTTGCGAACTCCTTGGTGTTTGTTTCCATAAAACCTGCATGAAAATTAAAAAACTAGTCCAGCCTAGGATAAAAGTCATTCAGAAAGAACTTTAAAGCAAATTAGTACACTAGTAAACTGAAGTTCAAGCTTATCATCTGTATATTTTAGTGATACTTGTATAAGATCGCAGTCGGTAGATGTCCAAATCAAGAAGTTTTCAAATGCATCAAAGCATGGTAATTGTGATAAATTAAAATTGTTCATTCCTTTAATAATAACAATGTAGTTAAACAACTGGAATTTTTCAAAGTGAACCTTAAGCGAATGATATCCTGTCCAATTCAGTTCAGCAACAAAATGTTCTCATAACATTTACTTCATGTTTTCCTTCTTTATAGACTTACTACTGTCGGGTGATCTGACACAAACTATGATAACGATAATGAATCCAAGCGTAGCTGATGTTCAAAATCAAAAAATGGGTAGAATGAACCAGAATTATAACACGAATAACATGAATGGCTCACCTGGCATGACAAATTTAATGAATGGTGCAATCAACGGATTTCAGATTCAACATCAGTATAGTTCTGCACAAGTTAACAATATTCCTCTAAGTACAGTTGGACAAAGCTTGGTGTTTACAAACGGTGCATCACTGAGAACGCCAACCTCACTTCTGGCGAACCTACCTCCTCCTCCTGCACCACCACCACCACCTCCACCAACTCCTCCACCTCCACTACCAGTACCTTTGCCTCCGATTCCAACTACATCTGTTACCCTCGATGGGAACAATGCAGCATCTGATCTCCCTGCATATGCTGGATTCCCAAGTAACTTGCCGGGTACACAGCATTTTATGAATAATTTATCTTGTCACGTTAATGGGTATTTGAATTCCGGCCAATATATGCAGACAAGTGTGGGGCTTAATAACCATGTGGTGAATTTAGCAGCAGAGTAAGCATTTTCATTACTGCATGCACTTGCTGATGTTGAATATGATGTCGATCTGGCATTTCACTTTTGTTATCTAGAATCATTGCTGTTGATAAAGGCTGTCTATTGGAAAATTTTTAAGAAACTACTTTCAGACTTACAGTTTTGAATAAAAGATACTGCGAAGTGAAATTGTATATGTCTGCACATGCTTGGCTCCGTAACTAGATTATATGCTTATTAATCTCATCAATCCACAGTAGGTATACATGTTCCTAGAAATTAACCATTAAATAGGTTCTTCATACTAACAAACCATGTATATAATAACTGGAAAACCTTATTAGAATGTCTTCAATTACTGGGGTGGAGAACGCTTCTTTAAAGTTATTTACTCTAAGAACAAGTTGTGTCCGGAACACATTCAAATGTGAAACACCTGATAAATAAGCGAAAAAAGAAACTTATGGAGGTAGCTACTCTTTTATTTATAACTCATTAGGGATTTAAAGATACCTAGATGACCAGTAACTGTTCTTCTTGAGTAGATAAGTTATCTTTGCTAATTACTATTATCTAGCACTACTGGGTGCTGGTGCAGAATTTCAAACTATTGAATCAGCCCTTCCACGTCATTCAGTCCCTCAACTTTTATGATCACCTTTAATCATCTACTAAGTTACTATTGTTGCAAATGCAACAGTGAAAATAAGTTGCTGTCAGGATTTCTAATGTTCCTATTGTTTTGTGTCATGTTGTTTCATTTCTATCTGATCAGAGATATCAAAATAATGAGATGAAGACATATCAAGGACTCAAAACACATATCCCAATTTAATTCCATGTCATCAATGAGTACTAACCTAAATAACTTGCTTATTTATTCTGAGTAGTAGCCTATTGCCTTAAGTACTGATCACTGATGTTTCTTTGCTTGTAACCGATAAGGAATAAGAGAGTATGATTGTAGTTCTTTATCAGTATCTCCCAGATGACACTAGTAAATCTAATTTTTTCTCTCTCTTTTTGACTTTAAATTAAACTGTAATATATATATATATATATATATATATATATATGCACTGATATGCTATTAATAAAAACTAGGAAAGACCCCATTATATATTATCGAGTCGACTCTTCATGAAAGGGCATTAGGATTTCTTCTAATTAGGATGACGACCAAATGGAGAGACATTTTAGACTGCTGAGTTCGCCCTAGTTATCTTGTGCTATTAGTTGTTAATCATGTAGGAAGTCCTGTGAAATATATTCTATGTTCAGTATATTTTCTAATTCTGTAGTCTTCACTTCAGGCTTTCTCTCTGTCCTAAATCTATAGCTCTTTTATAGGTATCCATTGACCACTTTTATTTATGAAACCTAGACTAAATGCATATTTTCAGAATACCGTATTATCCAGGATATACAGCTCAAAAACGTTTCGTTACATCAGCAATAGAACTCATTCCATGCATGGTTCAAATTCATAGCTCAATCCAATAAAATCTAAAAATTATTACCGCCATAGTTAGCCAGGTTTTTCTTTCCAAGAAGTTTTCTAGTCCTCCTTTCCGAAACAAAAATAAAATGCTTACACAGAAATTTTTCCCCTACTTAAACGCTGATAACTATTTAATAACTATTAGAATTACTATGGTTCACATTTTTCTTATTATTCTGGTCAAAACAGTTTAAAACGACTACGCTTTTAAATACGATGATTTACACATTGGTATATATAGCCCTGAATTATGCCTACTATATATCGGTAATGGAGGTCATGTTCTGTATAGTACGTGTCCTCATACCGGAAATATTCCAATCTATTACGCATTTACACTCATTTTTCGTCAGCTTGAATATAACAGAATTAAATAAACATTTATACATATCTCAGTCACAAACCAAACTTCTACTTATGGAAATTTTAATGAAAATTGTTCTTAGTGTGTGAAATTTTCTGCAGAATAATTCCTCACCTGAAATGCTCAGTGGATGGTACTGACTTCGGTAAAGCATATGGCTACTACGATAAATTGCTTTACATTGCAGTGAACTGAATTTGAATTCATTATGTTTGCAGTTAACTACTAACGGTAGTAGGTCTGGATCCACTGCTTTTTAATTTTCATGAATAGAGCACGGCTGATTGTTATCTGTGATGACAATGAGCGATGGACTTTTGAACATCACCATTAGTTTAAGGTTTTCTTTCTAATTGTTGACACAAGTTCTCAATGAACTTAAGTGTGCACAAGCCTAGTTTCATGTTTGCTCACCGATTCCTTGCAGATTTCTCCTCTATGTAATACTTTTCGCCTTTTTCAAGGCACCGAATAAGTGCTGGCTGGCAGCAGGACCGTCTATCTAAAATACAGCTAATGCAGCAGCGTAATTCACCATATATATATAATAACGATCCATGAATAAAACGAGGGAACTGAGGCTAGATTATAAACGTTTCATTAAAAGATAAGGTTAGTGAATTAACAGTATTTGGGCAGCTGGTAGAAACCTATTACTTAGACCATTTGATAATGCAGCAACAAGGCATAGTAAAAGACACGATAATGAAAACAACTGTTTCGTTGTCTCAAGGCTGTACTTATGTAACGGAAGTCATCGAATACCACAGTCCAATTGCTCATCTTTAGCATGTCACAGGATAAAGTGTTACTCTTGGTGATTTTCTTTTTGAAAACCTTAAACTTAAGTTACAGCTTTTAATCCAAACATAAGATATTTCTTAATTTTCATAGTTATTCAAATCGTTAGTAAACAATGGAAAATTTCTTTATGCATTCTACGTAGGTTTCAATCTTTTCTTATGCTTAACCTCATCTTCAGTTTGCCCTGTCTTTAAACACAATTCTTACAACTCAAGTAAGTCGACAAGTCAATATTTTTTAGAGAACAGAGGCAGATTTATTCGTTTTCTCCCACCCACTTATGGTCTATGTTATTAAGAGGTATATTTTGATGACCGTTTTAATATGTGACCTTTGAACTTGAAGTGACTTCTCAATCTGAGGGCACTTAGTTGATAGTTAACTTTTGTCATCAGTGTTACTTTATCTTATTAGGTAGGAATGATTTATTTGAAGGTGAAAAAAGTAGGAAAAATTATTGTTTAAATAAACTATAGATGCCAGTTGCTCTTCGCTTTTCAACAAAAGTTGGAGTGAAGAGAAACTGTAGTGAAATCTAACCCCATATATGATTTTAAATCCACCTATATAAGGCTGGTTATCACGTGTATAGAAATGGTTACAAATGGTCCAATGATAATTTATAAATCATCCGCGAAAAGTCACTACATGCCGGGAAATCAGTAAGCCTTGAAAATTTGGAAAATCAGACGTAGTCCAGGTCTTTTTCGTGTACCTTATGTTTATAAAAAGCAGTGATATTTAATTCTATCGTAGAATTACCACTAGGTGTACTGAATAAATTCAACACAGTATGGGGATCTTGAGCACTTTTACTTGGAATCAGTTTTTAGTACAAGTGGACATTATCTGCCGTTTTAAAACGTAGCTGTACTTCAGCAGGGAATGTGTAACAAAATAGCTGTAGGTGAAAAAGTCAGTATGAAAATCAGGAAAACTTTTGATTGGATAAGCAAGGGGTGCGTGCTATTATTTCTAAAGTCAGTTACCCAATAGCAAGTGCGTGTGTAGGCAATAGGCTAAAAAAAGTCAAGCAGAGAGTTTATTTTGGCTGCAACTGAAACTTTGACTTTTCGCTTAATTTTTTCCATAGGCCCACATATGTTGGATCTGAGGTAGGTTTACCTAGACTAACATGTGGACAGAATTTCAACTTATCCGGACATCCAGCTGTAATTGGTGGTAATATAAATGTTCCAGTTGACAGTCCATCGGGCCCTTCTCCAGCGAATACAGGGACAACTATCACAGCTGTTGGGTCATGTAACGGAGGAAGTAGTAATGGATCAATGGGACCACCTATTAATGGATGTTTAGTAAACAGAAGTCACAACAACTTCACCATGAATTATTTGAATTCAGAAACTGAAGCATTTAATGATAAATCTAGGCCGCAGTCTGGCTTATATCATGAACTATCTTTAGACAGATGTTCTGCCAGTCGATCACTTTTATCTGAACTTAAGGATCCCTTCAATTTGGACACCATTGTACGTGGTACCATATCGTGTAGCGGTGATCAACTTGCTTTACAAGAATCAGGTATGTTTATTAAAACACAGTCTAGTCTTCTCCGTGATTTCGATGCAATATAAGCATATTTAGAAAAGAAATAAGGGATTACTTTTTATTATTTATTGATATGTTTGTAATTCTCCTTTGTTTTACTGGATTGAGTTGTTCTACCTCTAGTGGCATATGGGCTCCTATGAGGATCCCTCGATATTGCCTGAATGATAACTATGGTGATTTACTGCTAGCCACAAGCAAGTAAACTGCTATGATTAACACTCAAGAAATAGTCTTTCATTAAATTTTACTTCAGGTGAATAAGAAAGATGTTGACGATAGATCGGTGCAGCTAGATCTTCTGGGTAAGATACTTCCTCATGACTTGTTGAATTTACTCATGGTTACTGCGGCAAAAGTTTCTGCGCTTTCGACTTATCCTGGGATAAATAAAGATCACGGTGCATACTCAAATCCTGAAGCATTTTTCACGATTTATCTAACTTAAGAAGAATGGAATAAAAGTCTGAGGACAGACATAGTAATCTCTTCAAAAGAAGCGAATAACATTACATATGATTGCCATAAACCTCTGCTCAAACTCATGGTTTCCAACGGTGAAACGCTTCGTTAGTCAAGTTTCAGTACAGATTGTTTCAGTCAAAGTTATCAATATCTCTTCTGGTAACAGAGTACATGATTCAACTACGGTCTGAAGTGGCTGGTAGTGAAATCGTACCATGAGATACATTGTATCACACGGTTGATTAAAGTCCTTGTTTTCATTAGATGATCAGTTTATTCTGTCTAGGGATTCAAGGACAAATTAAAACAACTATCCATTCCATTTTTGGTTTTTTATATCAACTTTAGGTGAGAAATAGTTTTTAGATTTGTCGCTTATTGCATTAGAAAGTGTTTTTTTTTCGAATGCTCTCATTTTTGAAGAGTCTAAGAAGCGGAGTATCTATAAATCACACAATATTGTATACATTTTCTTTTAATAATGAAGTTTGTTTAAATTTGTATCTGCAATTAGTTACTCTGTTTGTCTTCCTCTCCTTTTCTTTCAATCAACCTATCTTCATATCTCATCGAATGTTCGTCTTCGTGTTTCCATTCAACATTTCCCACTTCATTTACAAACATATGAAAAATGTGTATGGACATGTGTGTATTACTGATGCTGAACAGGTGTTTTCCTAACTATACCCCAGGGTGCATTACAGCCTAATTCATCTGCTGAAATTTATTTAGCTATATGTAGAGAAGATAAGCATCGTCCTACACTAGGAGGTGAGATTTTATTTTTATTTAAATTATTCGTTTTGATTAAAAATGTGTTATACACTGCATACGTTTTTGTTTTTAAAAAAATACATTCATGTCTGTAACTAGATTCATACTAAAATGTTCAGTATCGCAGATGTACTTTTGCAGAGCTATCCGCTATAGATAACAATTCTAGAACCAGTCTAGTCCTACATAGATTACCGAGTATAAATGTTACTCGCTTTCATAGCACTAAATAGTTAGTATGTCGCCAAGTTGTTTTAAAAGAAACAGTTTGAATATTCACATCTCCTTAAACTTTACTTGGGCTGCCTGGTAGTAAGTGGGATCAGTTGAAGCACCCTTCAGCCTAGAAGTGTATGCACGTTTTGATGGGTTGAATGTTATTCAGAACAGACCAAAATGGGCCATACTAAAGAAAAAACCTTCCCGACTTCTCAAACCAATAATTGTGTTCTGATTTTGCATGAAGGTTACTGTATATAAAAATCATTATTCAGATGCGGATTATGTCTTACCATGTGTTGTCTTTTTAGCAAGTGGATTAGATACTTCTGACTAGCCATGCATCCTAGGGATTCCTTCTGAGTTTATAAAAACAGCCACCTCTTTTCATGGAATTTTTACACATAATACTACTGTGAAATATCAGGAGTAAACATAATCAAAATATACTCAAACCAAGCTATTTTTAATCTAGTGAGGTGCGAGGAATCACCGGGAAAAAATCTTGAGAAAATTTAAAAATAACCAGCTGTGCTTTGATGTGAACAGTGTTAAGAAGATAAGCGAAACAATTACTAAGGCGAAGTCAAATAGTTCTACGTTGCCAAATTAATTCCTCATATTCACTGTAATTATTTTGATACTGTCATAATGATAATCAAGTCTTAACTGACACTTAGCAGTTGGTCAACCAAGTTTGCTGTCTGGAAATAGCTAACTTTTCCCATCTACATGTAAGCTACAAAAAGTATTCAACCACATCATGTTGAGACATATTGCTACATCTAGGTCAGTAGAAATGAATATCATTTTGGCATACCACACAATGAATAGCTTTCAAAACGTTTCTTTTATTACTTGATCACTTCCATTTCACTTTTAATGTTGGCAGATACCATGGCAGCCTTAGAAAGTTAATGCACATCAGATTAAGCAATTTCGTCATAATAAAGCACCTCACTGTTGGCCAATATTTACACTGAGATCAGAAAAAGTTAATCACGGGTGAAACTTAGACTACCTTATATATCTGCTAATTCTTAGTAAACTTCAGGAAGTCTGCATAAGTAATAAGGATATTTTCAGCCTGTAAATCTGATTTCAAATACATAGTATTCTTCTTCGCATGAGACTTATGCTTCAAGAAGAATATAAGAAAAGAGCTGACGCACTCTTTTTATACTAGTTGAGCATTTATTAATTTCGCCTTGGGGGCTCATGTGTGTATTTAAAATTGTTTAGTCACAGCAACATCTGGATTCGTTTCAGGGCTCATTCTCCTTGAGTTTTGATATTATGACTAAGTTATCCTAGAAACTAAGCTGAATATATTATTCTCCATTTATTATTATTTTAAGGACAATCTGTTAATACTTGCCTGCCCTCAAGCAAAATCAAAGATAGACTTGTAGCTACGAAAAGGAAAAGATAGTGAACTCGAATAAGTTTCTTCTCCGATAAACAGAAAAATTGTAGATGTTTCCGAAACATGTGGTAAGGACTTAGTGTGTGAAGCTGATGCCTACACGTTTCAAGGGAAAGGTTCACATGTGGCCTTTGGGAGACTCATAATCTATCCTAGATATACAAATATCAATCAGCATTATGGTTTAAAATACTGCAACTCAAGCATCTGAACTAAAAAATGTTTTCTATATCAGCTTCAAGTCACAAGCACAAAAGACTATTCATTTTATTACCGTGCTGCATACTAATTCAAGTCATACTCAGTGAGTAACGGAGAGTGATTACATAAGTTGGAATAATAAGATCCATTTTGAAGAGGTTTATTCGAGAAACGCGTATGAAGAGTTTTCATAACCATAGTCTCATCTTTTTGTAGCAATAACTTGACCAATCGGTAAATGAATCCTAATCACTGTTGAGTTTCATTCAAGAGAAATGAACAGTTTTATCAAACGGATATTGGGATGTGTGTATCAACTCTCGAACGACCTCGTTGTAACAAATAATGCATTTTAACAATTAACCATCAAGTTCTGATGGAGTTTAGAGTTCCAAGGGGAGATATAAGTTGCGGTCTTGCATGCATGCATATATATATATATATATATATATATATATATATATATGAATTCTATTGTCGTTGAATGGTCAAGCAACAAATTGGTCTGGCTGCTGGTTTTTTACGTCTGCTTCCATAAGTGTAGTGCTGCCACTTTTTGGTCGTAAGTGTTGAAAACATATGCCCAATAGTATAAACTTATACGGTTCTGAAACTGATCTGCTATGTGAAAGAAAATTCACATCCGTAAGATGTTTTGTTGAGTGATGCTATCAAAATGAACGTGTTTGTAAGTATTTACTTACAAGGCCTTGATTTCTGTCTCCTGCTCGCTCAAGACGATCAGAATAACGGATTCGTATCACTAGAAGTAATTTGCGATTGCATCACCTAGTATAGTAAGGTATAAGATTTGCGTCTCATATTGTGTGTGTCTGGACTAAACACAGTTACACATCGGTTAGTTAAAAGCTTGACTTCGACATAAATCAATGAGCATGAGTTACTAGTGTGTAATTAGGCGAATATGATTCACGTTCAGGCTTTCCTATCACCTGTATTTAAGCATCTCACATCATATCTAAAGTACCAGAAGCCTGAATCACTCACCTTGCTTTCGGTTTCGAGGAAGTGATCAGAAGAATTATTTAGACTTTCTTAAAATCTGTCAAACTGCAAAAAATTTATTCGTCAGAGAATTTAGAAGAAAATTTCCATGATAAGCTTTTTTCTATTTTCAAAATCGCAAACACTTTTGCTTACCAGAAAAATAGAAAAGTGGGCTCACGTAAATTTATTTTCACTCTTCGTTGATGCTCAGAATAATAACTAAGAGGACGCAACTTTTTTGTGATCTCTTAGGAGTATGATAATAGTAATTCGTCTTGGAATTTTATGTGATCGAACTGCTCACTCTGATGCTACTCATTATAGTGAAGCACTTCTTTTCCTATAAAACTGTGAATTCCAAACATGAAAAATTGGACTACTTTTCTTAAGTGTGACTGTGGTTTTTCACATCCAGATAATAATTTTAATCAAAGTTTTGAAGTCACCATCAGTTAGCAGATCCTAGAAAACCAATCACCATCGTTAAAGTAAACAAATAGGACGAATAGAAGTTGGTAACCAACCTACAGATTTTGAGGTTGGTCTCAGTAAAAACCAAATCATGTACACATTACACATTTCACAAAAAGTCAAATATATACTCCAGTTGGGGGGGTCATTCAAGTCATATACACTTCAGCTGAGAACGTGCCTTAAGATAATTGGACAATAGTTAGCTTAGGAAATTTTAGGATGTTCTAAATGAGGAAAGAAAGCAACATAAAAACATCTGATTTTCCATTTAATATATACTTATATCACCCTTTATCTTGTTACTGAGTAGCAGGCACCTTGCGTAACGACCTCTGTAGTCGGAGCTTTTCCCTTTCACCAAAAGAATAGATTAAGAAAATGGCCGAGTGATTTCATTTCCCACGATACATAGACTGGTATACCCTTACATTGTTTGCTTACATGTTGTCTAATAAAGCGTTAAGCTTAAGTTTAGACATATGACTGAGTGTGGAATGGAGTTTGGTTCGATAGTCTGTGATGTATCTCTGAGTATTTTGGAACCTTAATTTCCAAAGAAGTCAAATGTTCTTATTTGAATGGCTGCTTATCTATTACAGAAATGTAGAAATATTATTGACTAACACCCATTGTGCTTCACTTTGACGAATTAGAAAAAACAGAAACAAATTAGAAGCGTTCACTGTGTTTATAGAACTGCATATTTTTATTTCATTTTAAACGTTTTATTGTTTTATGCAGTGAGGTTTGGTGTTCTCCCTGTGGGACGAAATAAACCTCCTAAGATTCGCTTGTAAAGTTCAACTACATTTCAAAAATTAATTCAAAGTCTAACAAATTCATGGAAGGTGGAGAACTGATTGTCAAGTTTCACTTAAAAATATGTGTATGAAAGAAGTGTGTGCACCTTAGAGTGGAAGTATGCTGAATTATACTTCTGCATATATTTAAAGTGTAAGGCAATGCTTATGTCTCTTTGAAATAACTTTTCTTTCTTTTCAATGTGATCATAGTTCCGGATACGAACGAAAGGATTTATAAGCATGAACATTTTTGTGAAAGAAATCCAGGCTCAACAGGAAGTATGACTTTCTCAGTTAGTCCTTAAAAGTAATGATGTTGGTCAGAAGGTTCACTCACATATTATTCAATCGTATGGATTTTTGGAATGTTTTCCTAATTTCTATGATCAAGTGACTTATTACGTTGACTGTCCAACTCATTATTTTAGTACATGTATGTTCTTATGAATGAGAGACAAGTGAATTTCCTTGTTCTGTACTCATTTACTTAGAAATTAAATCTTCGCAAACTATAAAATCTCAACTTAGTTTGGATATCTACCAACTGACTACGGACTGTTTTCATTTGATGGAAATACGAAGGTTACTGTATGACTGCAGTTAAGGTCGAGTCATTACCAATTATCATGAATGAGCAACAAATGATCTCCTAATGACCAGAAAGAATTAAATTTTTCCTAAGAATGTGGTTACCAGAGTCATGACTCACTCTGTTATGCTCCTTTTCATTAGATAAATGTAATATGACCTCAAAAAATATCAAAATATCCAATAACCCTTAGGTCTTGGGAACTTAGACCACCTCGCTGTTTTTTAAGCAGGTGGGAGCTTAGAAAACCTTTTAATTCTTGTATAGACAATATATT